AGGAGGTATGGGGAGCTGCAATAAGTGTGCTGCTCAGGTAGTGTGTGTTATAGGAGGTGTGGGGAGCTGCAGTGAGTGTGCTGCTCAGGTAGTGTGGGTTATAGGAGGTGTGGAGAGCTGCAGTGAGTGTGCTTCTCAGGTAGTGTGTGTTATAGGAAGTGTGGGGGGATGCAGTGAGAGTGGTGCTCGGGTAGTGTGGGTTATAGGAGGTATGGGGAGCTGCAGTGAGTGTGCTGCTCAGGTAGTGTGTGTTATAGGAAGTGTGGGGGGATGCAGTGAGAGTGGTGCTCGGGTAGTGTGGGTTATAGGAGGTGTGGGGAGCTGCAGTGAGCGTGCTGCTCAGGCAGTGTGAGCTATAGGAGGTGTAGGGAGCTGCAGTGAGCATTTTGCTCAGGTAGTGTGTGTTATAGGAGGTGTGGGGAGCTGCAGTGAGTGTGAGGCTCAGGTAGTGTGTGTTATAGGAGGTGTGGGGAGATGCAGTGAGTGTGAGGCTCAGGTAGTGTGGGTTATAGGAGGTGTGGGGAGCTGCAGTGAGTGTGCTGCTCAGGTAGTGTGTGTTATAGGAGGTGTGGGGAGCTGCAGTGAGTGTGCTGCTAAGAAAGTGAGGGTTATAGGAGGTGTGGGGAGCTGCACTGAGTGTGAAGCTCAGGTAGTGTGTGTTATAGGAGGTGTGGGGAGCTGCAGTGAGTGTGCTGCTCAGGTAGTGTGGGTTATAGGAGGTGTGGGGAGCTGCAGTGAGTGTGCTGTTCAGGTAGTGTGGGTTATAGGAGCTGTGGGGAGCTGCAGTGAGTGTCCTGCTTAGGTAGTGTGTGTTATAGGAGGTGTGAGGAGCTGCAGTGAGCGTGTTGCTCAGGTAGTGTGGGTTATAGGAGGTGTGGGGAGCTGCAGTGAGCGTGCTGCTCAGGTAGTGGGGTTTATAGGAGGTGTGGGAGCTGCAGTGAGTGTGTTGCTCAGGTAGTGTGTGTAATAGGAGGTGTGGGGAGCTGCAGTGAGCATGCTGCTCAGGTAGTGTGGGTTATAGGAGGTGTGCGGAGCTGCAGTGAGTGTGCTGCTCAGGTAGTGTGTGTTATAGGAGGTGCGGGGAGCTGCAGTGAGTGTGCTGCTCAGGTAATGTGTGTTATAGGAGGTGCGGGGAGCTGCAGTGAGCGTGCTGCTCAGGTAGTGTGGGTTATAGGAGGTGTGGGGAGCTGCAGTGAGTGTGTTGCTCAGGTAGTGTGGGTTATAGGAGGTGTGGGGAGCTGCAGTGAGCGTGCTGCTCAGGTAGTGTGGGTTATAGGAGGTGTAGGGAGCTGCAGTGAGCGTGCTGCTCAGGTAGTGTGGGTTAGAGGAGGTGTGGGGAGCTGCAGTGAGTGTGCTGCTCAGGTAGTGTGTGTTATAGGAGGTGTGGGGAGCTGCAGTGGGCGTGCTGCTCAGGTATTGTGGGTTATAGGAGGTGTGCGGAGCTGCAGTGAGTGTGCTGTTCAGGTAGTGTGGGTTATAGGAGCTGTGGGGAGCTGCAGTGAGTGTCCTGCTTAGGTAGTGTGTGTTATAGGAGGTTTGAGGAGCTGCAGTGAGCGTGTTGCTCAGGTAGTGTGGGTTATAGGAGGTGTGGGGAGCTGCAGTGAGCGTGCTGCTCAGGTAGTGGGGCTTATAGGAGGTGTGGGAGCTGCAGTGAGTGTGTTGCTCAGGTAGTGTGTGTAATAGGAGGTGTGGGGAGCTGCAGTGAGCATGCTGCTCAGGTAGTGTGGGTTATAGGAGGTGTGCGGAGCTGCAGTGAGTGTGCTGCTCAGGTAGTGTGTGTAATAGGAGGTGTGGGATGCTGCAGTGAGCATGCTGCTCAAGTAGTGTGGGTTATAGGAGGTGTGGGGAGCTGCAGTGAGTATGCTGCTCAGGTAGTGTAAGTTAAAGGAGGTGTGGGTAGCTACAGTAAGTGTGCTGCTCAGGTTGTGTGTGTTAAAGGAGCTGTGGGGAGTTGTAGTAATGTGCTTCTCAGGTAGTTTTTGTTATAGGAGGTGTGAGGAGCTGCAGTGAGCATTCTACTCAGGTAGTGTGGGTTATAGGAGGGGTGGGGAGCTGCAGTGAGTGTGCTGCTCAGGTAGTGTGTGTTATAGGAGGTGTGGGGAGCTGCAGTGAGTGTGCTGCTCAGGTATTGTGGATTATAGGAGGTGTGAGGAGCTGCAGTGAGTGTGCTGCTCAGGTAGTGTGGATTATAGGAGGTGTGGGGAGCTGCAGTGAGTGTGCTGCTCAGGTAGTGTGGGTTATAGGAGGCTTGGGGAGCTGCAGTGAGTGTGCTGCTCAGGTAGTGTTGGTTATAGGAGGTGTGGGGAGCTGCAGTGAGTGTGCTTCTCAGGTAGTGTGTGTTATAGAAGGTATGGGGAGCTGCAGTGAGTGTGCTGCTCAGTTAGTGGGAGTTATAGGAGCAGTAGGGAGTTGTAGGAGTGTGCTTTTCAGGTAGTTTTTTAATAGGAGGAGTGAGGAGCTGCGGTGAGTGTTCTACTCAGGTAATGTGGATTACGGGTGGTGTTGGGTGCTGCAGTGAGTGTGTTGCTCAGGTAGTGTGGATTATTGGAGGTGTGGGGAGCTGCAGTAAGTGTTCTACTCAGGTAGTGTGGATTACAGGAGGTGTTGTGTGCTGCAGTGATTGTGTTGCTCAGGTAGTGTGTGATATAGGAGGTGTGGGGAGCTGCAGTGAGCGTGCTACTCAGGTATTGTGGGTTATTGGAGGTGTGGGGAGCTACAGTGAGTGTGTTGCTCATGTAGTGTGGGTTATTGGAGGTGTGGGGAGCTGCAGTGAGTGTGCTTCTCAGGTAGTGCATGTTATAGGATGTGTGGGGAGCTGCAGTGAGCGTGCTGCTCAGGTAGTGTGTGTTATAGGAGGTGTGGGGAGCTGCAGTGAGTGTGCTGCTCAGGTAGTGTGGATTATAGGAGGTATGGGGAGCTGCAGTGAGTGTGCTGCTCAGGTAGTGTGGGTTATAGGAGGTGTGGGGAGCTGCAGTGAGTGTGCTGCTCAGGTAGTGTGTGTTATGGGAGGTGTGGG